TAACCGGATTAGATTATACAAACACCAAAAAATTTAAAATGGCGGACAAGCAGTGTCGGCAGCTAGAGAGATCTGTTCTTCCCTGAGCAAAGATCCCCCTACTTCTTCCCTGTACTGAGCCACCCTAACAGAGCTTTCCCCAAGTGCGCCATGCTCTCTGGAGGTTGGGGCTGGTGCCCGGATGCTGTCCCCGTGTGCGTGCTCTCGCGCACAGACCTTACAGATTGTCATCCCCTTGAAGGGAGGTTCGTAAGCTGCGGCTCTGGGAGGTGCTGAGCATCGGGGTGGTGACCCACCAAGCATGGGAAATTTGGCTTTCCGTACACCTTGACACGCACGAGTCGTGCCTATAGCTAGGAGGAAGCGAAACAAGGGAAGCAGTGGAGAGATTTTCTGTATCTCCAGTGGTTCTCCCCATGCTGTCGGCTTGGGACAGCTGGGTCCCCTCCACAGGCGGGTCTGCTGCAGCTCTGCTGAAGGTTGTTTCCTACCTGTTTCGTTTCTGGCAGGCAGGAAGCACAAGCCCTTTTATTTAGCAAGATGCCAGTAACAGCCCTGCGCACCGCAATTTAAAACCCTGTGGGTGCCCATGGCAACCATGTGCTCCACAACGGAGGTATCTGCACTCCAGAGCACATGGTGTGCTACTCGAAATCCCGCTTCCTCTTAGTTTACTACAGCGGCAGAGAGGTAAATCCCGGGAAGTCGGGATGCTGTCGGGTTTTAGCCGTTCTGGAATAGCAAGAGAGAACAACAAATCCACCATAACTTTTCTGGTGACCACTTTGCAATATGCCTCTTGTAGGAACCCAAATGCCCAGCGCTGTCTGTCGTTGCATTATTTCAAGTTTCCACCAGTTCAGCTGGGAGGAGCGTGCCGAGCTCAGCCCCCGCGCGGCGCAGGCGAAGGGCTTCTGTGCAGGCTGCGCACAGCTGGCCTGGACGTAAAATGCAGGTCCCTTTGCATGTTGGACCCTCTAGTTGCATTGTCATTGTGGCACTTGTGACCGCTAAGAGGAGGTACTCATCACTAAGGTTATCCTTAGTTAACCTTAAAATTAACACTTATTCATAACCATTGTATAATTTCATAGGCATCCTTACACACAGCATTGCCAAGGTAAATGCCAAGGGGGAAAAAGCCCAAATTCTTTCATGAATCCCATGTGTCTTTTTTTTTCACTGATTTCCAGAAATGGTAAACATAATCGTGGGAGGTATCACACTGATTCAAAACCTTAACTGAGACATGGATAAGCTGGCCACAACTTGGGTGCTGCCTGCTTTCCCCATTTACTTTATGTTCAACGTGTGAAGTGCATCAAAAGATGAATATGGATTTCCATATCCTGGGGTATGGAAAACGGTGGGATCTCAGATCCCTTGGCAGCGATGGAGGCCGCACATTGCAGTGGTTTGGGAACTCGGGTGAGCGATCCCGACTTGTAAAGCATGACGTGACTAGAGGTGGTAAGTGCGTACTGGCCAGTGGAGCAGAGATGGCCACAGACCCATCAGCAGTATGTTCAAGAGCAAACAGCACCTCCCTCGTGTGTCTCACTAAGTGTAGGAAAAACAGCTTCAGTGGCTGTAAAAATGGTGGAATGTGCAAACTAATCACAATATTTAGAAGACAGCATTCAGCTAATCAACCACAGCCTTTGGGGTTTGCATACTGTAATTGTCTTTCTGAGAAGAGTTAGAGCAACTGCGAAATCAAATCGCTGCACGACCACAGTGCTGGCCATAGCTGAACCGCTATGGTTCAAGGGAATTTTCTCTCAGAGATTTTTGTTGTGCTCTTGGATGGGACGTTAAAATATACCACCCCAGTTATTTGATAGAAGATCAATCCAGCCACTATTCCACACCCAGATCACCTCTGAACTTTGGTAACAAAGCACAGCAAGTTCCCAATGTCTTTTCTTACTTTCCAGTAAGAGTTTGGCACTTGGGATGGATAACCTGGCGGCAACTAAGCCTGCACCAAAGTCTGAGGTTTACTCACGGCCCAAGCCCTGTTTTGGGATCAAAATCCATGTAAGCACTACTGCCGTCCTGGCAGTGGCAGTGAAAACTCATATAATGTCTAGAAGGTCGTTACACAGACAACTGTCTGCTAGCAGTCACTTTCAAGTGTTAAAGGGTTTGTTTCCTACTACTGCTCGCTAGGACCACTCAGCCCCACGTTCTTGGGAACAATTAAACATAGAGTCAACATCAAGTGTGCCCTGCGAACATAAACTCCAGGTGCACATCTTCCTTCCTGTGACACAAGTGTGAGCTTCTGCCACTGAGCTGTGAGAGCTTCACAGATCTGGGGTATTTTTTCTCCCTCTCCTCCCATTGCGGCAGAAGGTGTCTTGGTGTGGCAACCAGAAGTGGTCTGTGAAATGCCCAACACTGCACGGAAGGCATGGGGCTTTGCAAGAGGATTTCCAGCATATTCTGGTGCCGCCAGTCCAAAGCAGCTTTTCTGTTACATTGCTTCGCGCATGCAAGGATGCTTCTTCTTACAGGTACATCATAGCATAGCCCCACAAACTGTGGGCGGGAGAGGAGGAAGGGCAATTGGATGGACTGCTGCCAGTCTCATTCCCGCAGATGGTTAGTCCCACCAGATCTGCTGTGGGAGTGATGTGCCAGGCTCTGGGTAAGGGTGACATCTGCGGATTGTCGAAGTTCACCTGCAATTACACAATGCTGTGAGTTTGCTGATGTGGTTCATTATACAGTTAAACCAAATCTCAGCCCTATCGGATCATTAGTTCCATAAGAACTTGTCCTCCTCGCTGTGGTCTCCTGCATGATCAAATGAGTGTCCTCAAGCTCTCTGTGTGCCAGCAGCTAATGGAGGCTGCAGTTTGTGCAGCAGTCTCAGGGCTCTGCTCTTGGAGCTCCTGGACCTTCTGGTGACAAGGTCCAGGACCTTTGGGGAATGCTTGGGAACCACCTGAGAAACGCAAGGCTGCCTGCTGCTGTCAGGCAAGGATGAGCTAAGGGGAGCCACAGGGTTGCAGGCCCGAGAAAGCTCTAGGAGCTTCTAACTATCTGCCCTTGACTCAGGGTGCCTGGAGCCTGGGGCAGCAGTTGCAGCTGCCCCTGATTAGGGAGGATCCATCACCCTTCTGCTGGTGCTCAGCAGAGCCCTCTGTAAGAGCCAGACCCAGGGCACAGCTCTGAGAGGCAGCGGTTTGTGCAGAGGGCTGTAAAGAAGGGGTCCTCAGCTGAATTCATAGCACCATAACCAGTTTCAGATATGGTGGTGATGCAGATGTCGGCCCTGTTGCCCCAGTCGGGGCAGGGGCTTCGACGCAGGTGGAACTTCGGGTGCTGGATGCAGTCCTCCAAGTCCCAGGCTGCAGGGAGCGCCTGGGGCTCGCTGTGGGGCTGGGAGCAATGTCCCCCTGTCCTGCAGGAGGTATGCCATCTTGGTGGAGCTGTGCTGCCAAGTGGTGGACCTATTGGAGCTATGAGCAGCTTGCACAGCATGAGAGGGAGATAAGTAGCATCTGCTCTAAGACTCAACAGCTTGGAGATCCTCGGTCTCAACCTAGAATAGAAAAGCAGGCAGTGTCTACCTCCACTACCAAGGTAAGTGAAACCTCTGGACAAGGGAAGGATGGATGCTGGTGACTTCTGGGACCAAGAGGAAGGTTTGTGCCTCACCTAACAGCATACAGCTGCAAAATAGGCTCACGGCCCTCAAAGTTGAAGAGAAGCCAGGTGTGCTTTTAACCAAAACATTTGGGCCACCTAACCCTAAACCATGTAAGACCACTGGGAAGAAGCAGTGAGTGACAGTAGTGGGTGAGCCCGTGCTGTGGGGGACAGAAGCTGACCTGATCTATCATTTAGAGTTTTGCCACCTGCCATGGGGCCTGGCTCCAACATGTTGTGGAGGGATTGCCAACGCTTGTCTGACCCTCTGGCTATTACCCCATGATGTTCTTCCATGTGGCCACCAATGACACTGCCAGGAGCAACCTAGACAGTATCAAAAATGACTACGTAGCCCTGGTGGAGTAGTCAGGGGCATGAGGGCTCAGGTGGTGATATCATCAATCCTACCAGTGAGGGGAAAGGGTGTGAGAAGAGCACTAACAGGACAAGTCAATAATTGGCTGTGGAACTGGTGCTGGTGGACCATGAGACCTTATTTACAGGTCAGCATCTATTGGGGAGGGATGGGATCCACCTCACCAAGTGAGCAAAGGTACCTTTGCCAGCAGGATGGCTGACCTGGGAAGGAGGGCTTGAAACTAGAAATGACAGGGGAGGGAGAGAGTAACCAGCAGCCCTGTGATGGAGTGATGGGCTGGGTCAATGAGCCAAGGGCATGGGGTGATGTGACAGGAACAGGACACAAACCAAATGGGCTTTAAGCAGTGTCACCTCCAGCACTTACATCAAAGCAATGCAGTGCCTACAAGGCACCATTATGGAGAAATACCCCCAAAACCCTTCTGGGAAATCAGCATGCTGGGGTCCCTCTCTAAAGTACATGTACACTAATGGATGAGATGTGGGGAATAAACCTGGCAAGCTGGAGATCTGCGTGCAGCTGCAGGGTTATGATCTCCTGGGGATCATGGAGACAGGGTGGGATGGCTCCCATGACCTGGGTGTTTCAATGGAGGAACGCAGGCTCTTCAGGAAGGGCAGGCCAGGAAGATGAGGAGGGAGAGTTGCCATTTATGTGAGAGAGCAGCTGGAGCTCTTCCTGGGGATAGGCGCATACTGAGAGCTTGTAGGTTAGGATTAAAGACGGGACATGTACAGGGGACACTACAGTGGCTGTCTGCTAGAGGCTGCCTGACTAGGAAGAACACGCTGATGAGGCCCTCTACAGACAGATAGGAGCAGTGTTGCTTTTGTTTGAGGGCCCTGGTCCTCGTGGGGGCTTCAGCCACTCCAATATGTGTTGGAGGGACAACACAGAAGGACATAAGCAATCCAAAAGCTTCCTGGAGCGCATTGACAATAACTTCCTCCTCCAGGTGACAGAGGAGCCAACGAGGAGCTCTGCTGGGCCTCATACAATAACGAGGGGTTTGTTGGGAATGTGAAGGTCAAAGGGAGTGTTGGCCACAGCAACCATGAGATGGTGGACTTGGGGAACCTGAAGGCAGGGAGGAGGTTGAAATGCAAGCTCAAAACCCTGGGCTTCAAGAGAACAGACTTTGACCTCTTCAAAGATCTGCCTGGAAGAGCCCTGTGGGATAAGGCCCTGCAGGGAAGAAGAGCCCAAGAAAACTGCTGCAAGGATCGCCACCTCCGAGGTCAAGAGCGGTCCACCCCAACAAGAAAAAAGATGGGCAAAAATGGCAGGAGGCCTGTGTGGATGAACAAAGAGCTCCTAGCCAAACTCAAACACAAAAAGGAAGCATACAAAGGGTGAAAGCAAGGACAGGTAACATGGGATGAATATAAAGATATGGTCTGAGCATCCAGGGACAAAGGCAGGAAAGCTAAAGCCCAAATGGAACTGAATCTGGCCAGGGATGTCAAAGACAAGAAGAAAGAAACAAGTACATAGGAAACAGAAGGCAGAATAGGGAAAATGTAGGCCCATTGCTGAGTGAGATGAAGGACCTAGATACACAGGACATGGAAAAGGCTGAGATACTGAATGCCTAATTGCTTCAGTCTTTACTGGCAAGACCAGCCTTCAGGATTCCCAAGTCCCAGAGACCAGGGGAAAGGCTGAAGCAAGGAAGATGCAGTCTTGGTGGAAGAGGAATACTTAAGCAAACTGAACATACATAGGTCCAGTGCTGGTGGGAGCTGATGCTGAGGGAGCTGGCAGATGTCATTGGAAGGCCACTCTCAATAATCTTTGATCAATCACGGTGATGGGGAGAAGTGCTATGAAGACTGGAGGAGTGCAAATATCATTCCTGTCTTCAAGAAGGAGGACTCAGGGAATCACAAGCTGGTCAGCCTCACCTCCGTCCCTGAGAAGGGGATGGACCAGCTAATCTTAGAAACCATTTCCAGTCACATTACAGGCAAAAAAAAATGCATCAGGAGTAGTCAGCATGGCTTCACCAGGGGAAAGTCATGCTTGACCAACTTATTAAACTTCTATGAAGAAGTGACTGGCCTGGTCACATGACGGAAGAGCAGTAGTGTCTACCTGGACTTCAGTAAGGCTTTGACGCTGTTTCCCATAAGATCCTCTTAGACAAGCTATTGAAGCATGAGCTGGATGAGCAGGAAGTGAGTTGGGTTGAAAATTGGCAGAATGGCCAGGCCCTGAGGGTGGTAATCAATGGCACAAAGTCTAGTTGGAGACTATTAAGGAGCAGTCTACCCCGGGGTCAATACCGGGCCTAGTCCTGTTTAACATCCTCCTTAATGGTCTGGATGAGGGAGCAGAGTGTACCCTCAGCAAGTTTGCAGCTGACACCAAACTGTGAGTCAGTCACTCCTGACTTCTCTATGTCCTCACCCTGAGTGGCGCAGTGGGACAGGGAATGAAGGTTGTGGTCACTTCATCACACGCTGACTTTGCTACTCCTTCCTCCTCATGCTCTTCCCCTGCTCCAGAGAGGGGTCCTTCCACGGGAGACAATCCTTCACGAACATCTCCAATGTGGGTCCTTCGCACAGGCTGCAGTTCTTCACGAACTGCTCCAGCCTGTGTCCTTTCCACAGGGTGCAGTCCTTCAGTTGCACAGCAGTTTTTACTCTTTCTTAAATATGTTACCATAGAGGTGCTACCAACATCACTGACAGACTCAGCTTTAGCCAGCAGCAGGTCCCTCTTGGGGCCGGCCGGAAA